GGGCACTATAGGGATAGATGGGGAACAGGGTTACTATAGGGGTAGAGGGGGGCACTATAGAGATAGATGGGGAACAGGATTACTATAGGGGAAGAGGGGGGCACTATAGAGATAGATGGGGAACAGGATTACTATAGGGGAAGAGGGGGGCACTATAGGGATAGATGGGGAACAGGGGTACTATAGGGGAAGAGGGGGGCACTATAGGGATAGATGGGGAACAGGGTTACTATAGGGGTAGAGGGGGGGGCACTATAGAGATAGATGGGGAACAGGGGTACTATAGGGGGAGCAGGTCTCACTTACCAGGCAGCAGATTCAGGCCTCGGTTAGCTCCGCCCCCGCCGACCACTTGGCTCCGCCCCCATCGGCTGCTTGGCTCCGCCTCCTACAGTCTCTTTCGCTGCTAAGCCCTGGTAGAGGGCAGGGGGTGTGCAAGCTGTCAGCCATAGGGCGCCCCCTGCTGCCATGGCGCCCTGTGCGGCCGCACAGCTCGCACACCCCTAAGGCCGGCCCTGCCGACGACGGCTCAGGACCGTCATAATTACTTACCCGATCGCCACAATCGGCATTGCTCCAGGTCTGGGGGGACTGTCTGACAGCCCCCCTCTGCAATTTACGCCTGCATTGGCCATGCAATCGCTCTAACAGAGCGGTCACATGGCCGCAATAGGCATCCAAGTATCTGCCTGCAGGGGGACTGCCTGTGCTGACAGGCAGTATCCCTGCTGCTGGAAAATGAAAAATATAAATAAAAATGTTAGTAAATAAAAAAAATATATATGTATATATTTCTTGTATATATAATGTCATACTAAGTTTATTTTCATATTAATATATACATATATTAATATAAAAATACACTTATAATTAAATTACACACGTATGTATATCATATATATATTTAATAACTATATATTGCGTATATATTATTATAAAATATAAATAATAGGTAAATACAAATAAATTAAAAAAGTAAAAATAATTAGAGGGCGTGGCCGACTACGGAGCTGAGTAGTCGCTTATCTGTGGAGCTCTGCTTCGGCCCCACAGATTAAGAGTCCTAACGCAGAGAAATCCGCTCCAATACCACACAGCTTACCTGCCACCCGACAGCTGACAACATGGGACGCAAACATAAAAGGCAAATCCACATAGAGCGACCCGCGGCACCCGATTTTAGGCTTGCGTTCCAGAGGCCTACACAGACGCGGCCCGCCAAGATGGCGCCGGAACCGCAGAGTGAGCTGGAAACCTCTGACGACTCCCAGGAAGAGAGGGACTCCCAAGCCTCACTCCCAGGCCCAACTCACAGGTCTGATTCAGAGGAGGATGACTCCCCATCCACAAAAGGGGACATCAGAAAGCTGCTGACAGACCTCAGACAGATCTGGAAGGCCGATTTAAAGGAGACCCAAGCTGAAATAGGGGTCTTACAGCAGAGAGTCCAGGAGGTGGAGACCAGAGAAAAATCCAGAGATAACCAACTCCAAGACACCAAACAGCAACTGGACGGACTTACTGAGCAGGTCCGACGCCTACAAGGAACTGTGGTAACACTTGAGACCAGATACCGCCTCTGCAACATACTCCTCAGAGGTATCCCTGAAACTGTGGATGGAGAAGACCTACTGCCCTTTGTTCGGAGACTTATCTCCTCCATGGGCCTCAGGTGTAACTTAGACACCCCACTGATACTATCCACCTTCCGGGTGCGCAAATCGCCAGCAGCACCCGTGGGCGCCCCCAGAGACACAATAGCTACCACCAGAGACATAGCTGCGAGAGCTGCCATCATGGCTGGAGCAATACCATTGGGGTCGGTGAAATTTGAGGAATGCGAGGTGGCCATGTACAGTGACCTCCCTTTTGCCGTGCTTGCCGCAAGGAGACAACTGGCACCGGTCGCTAAAAGACTGAGAGAACAATCGGTCCGTTACCGTTGGGGCACAGAAGGTTCATTGATGGTGCAAAAGGGCACCGACGTACTCACTTTGACCTCAGGAAAAGACTCAGAGATGTTCTTCAAAAAGCTAGACACGTTAGCCAATGGACACGGCAAGCGGACTGAGAAACGCAACACTTAATTATTATTATAGTGATGTTTATTATTATAGTAATGTTTTTCATGTGTATATATGTTTATAGGGTCAGGGGGAGTATCCATATACTTTTAACCCACTAATCCAAGCCTTTGCCCTAATTACCTGACTTCGCATACACAGAATAAGTCTGTAGAAAATGCTAGAATCACGCAACCTCACTGAACAGGGGTCTCCATATAAAGATAGAAACGTGTAACCTGGTTCCTCGCAATGCTACCGTACATACTTAACTGATATTTAACCGATACCGTGATTATTGCTATGTTTGTAACCCAACGAAATGTTACTAGATCCTGTTATAACCCATATAATAACCCATATAATGGAAAAATGTATACTGTGTGTACAAAACCCAATAAAACACAAATTAAAAAATAAAATAAAATAAAAAAAGTAAAAATAATAAAAATAAAATAAAAAGTAATATGTAATTTTATTCTAACTGTATTTTGATATTAATATATATATCAAAATACACTTAGAATGAAATCGTATTTCGTATTATTTTTATTTATTTATATATATATATATATATATATATATATATATATATATATATATATATATATATATCCATATACATAATCACATTAATAATTTCAATATATAAATATGTATATATATATTTAAATTCTATGTGCATATTTATGTAATAATTTTACATAATTAAAGGACCACTATAGTGCCAGGAAAACAAACTCATTTTCCTGGCACTATATAGTCCTTAGATCCCCCCCACCCTCAGGTAAAAACCCCTTCAGCCACTTACCTTAATCCAGCGCCGGGCTCCCTTGGTGCTGGTGACCTTTCCTCCGTCTCCAACATCAGCTCCCGAATGAAGCCTAACGCATGCGTGGCCAAGTTTTACCGCATGTGCGGTAACTTTCCATTGCACCCTAAAACCTGTACATGGGGAGGGGGTACTGTTTTACTCGGGAGGCTTTGTTGAACACAAATATTAGTGTTTCAAAACAGTAAAACATATCACAGGGATGATATTGTCAGTGAAAGTGACTTTTTTTGCATTTTTCTCACACAAACAGCACTTTCACTGATAATATCATTGTTGTGATATGCTTTACTGTTTTGAAACACTAAAATTTGTAACAGTACCCCTCATGTACGGGTTTTATGTCGTTTTTTAAAGTTACAGGGTCAAATATAAGGCTTGATTTTCAGTTTTTTTCAATTTGCCAGATTGGTTATGTTGCCTTTGAGAGCGTATGGTAGCCCAGGAATGAGAATAACCCCCATGATGGCATACCATTTGCAAAAAAAGACAACCTAAGGTATTGCAAATGGGATATGTTCAGTCTTCTTTAGTAGCCACTTAGCGTTTTTTGCATTTTTTTATTTTATTTTTATTTTTTATTTTTTTTTTTTTTTTTAAGATTTTTTTTTTTTTATATTCTTTATTTTTGAACATGCATGAGGTTACATTGCATCCTGCATTGCCACAACAGCAAATGCAAGGATTTGCGATACATTCAGTGATACATGTGAAATAATAGTGAGGACTACTAGAGATAATACTTGCATCATTTAGGAAAACAGCATGAAATTTTATATTTAACGATTAAGCTAGCAACAGTATTGTAGATACAACATGAGTTAGTCAAGGTAATGTAGACTTAACTAGTGGCTCATTTTTAAGTTAGAGATCATGCAGGCTAAACGTAAACAGGCTTAGTTATGTAGCTATACAGTAGGTTCAGTAACTTCAGTTAAGATGTAGTGTGGAATAAGAGTGTACGTTGCTGTGAGTGCCGTATACATTGCGCTAACTTGCGGTCACTGGTAGATACAACTTATAGATTAACTTTTATACTATGTCTAGGTAGGTCATATTATGAAGACTAGTGGGGTTACACAATGTGGGGCAACTGTCACCCTGATGGATCGTAGTTCCCAGAGCTGCCTCCGTGTGGGGGATATCGGTATTCTGGTGGTCCCAAGGCCACTCAGACAGGGGTAGTCCCGCTTTTATCAGATACCTCTTCTGCTGTGTTCAGGTGGTAGGGGGCAAGTGTCCATCAGAGCAGGCATCAGAGTGTACTTTGTCCTCATAGACTCCTGCATAGTTCTTTGGGTGAATTCGAGTTGCAGCCTTGGCGCTTGCCGTCTTCCCTTGTCTGCAGGCTGATGTCCGCCATGCGTGAGAGCTGGGCTTTGTCCATGGGAGTCCGCCGCTTTCGGGGTAATCCTGTTATAGGCTGAGTGGTAAGTGAGTGCTTCCGGCAGAGGTGTCATGCCGGGCAGCTGGCGCAGTTACCCCAGGCGGGGATCGGTTGCTGTTAGGAGTTCCGCCCTCCCGGTGCAGCCGCAAACTCCCGCTTGTTCCGGTCGCCCATGCATCTAGTTGCTGGCTTGGGTGATAAGGGTAGGCTCTGTGTTTGCCGTTTCCCTATGTAGTGGGATCGGGATGTGGGAGCTGTTTTTGGTGTGATCATGAGGAGGTGGGAGGTGTTCCCCTTGTTGTCTGCGTGCAAGACGCCCGCCATTTTGGAGGCAGCAGTCGGGCTTCTCAGCCTCAGTCGCGGAGTTACATTCAGGGCCGCAGGGTGAGGACCGGGATCACCCCCCCGGTCCATAGGGGGGGGAACGGAGCCGGATCCGCGCCGGTCTGTACCGTTGGTCTGGTTCTGTGGTGCAGGATAGTGAGGCAGCGGCCGTCTGCCTCACTCACCGCCGGAGAAGGCCCGGGTTGGGGCAACATGTTTTTCTCCCCCAGGGGACTGAAGCTCAGTGAGCCAGCCTCTCCCCGGGTCCAGCAGTCCCTCGGCTCTGGGTATCTTCGCGGTTGATCAGGTTTTAGGTGGTAATCAGCGTTTTTAGCAGTGATTATGTATTGTGTTACTGGAGCTGGTCTGACTTGCGACCGTCCAGCCTGGCGGTCCGGCCCCGCCCCCGTTTTTTGCATTTTTAACACACAAACAAATATAAATGCTAACTTTGGCCAGTGTTTGTGACTAAGTGGCTACTAAAAAAGACTGGACATACCCCATATTGAATACCCTGGGTTGTCTACTTTATAAAATATGTACATGTGAGGTGTGATTCACTATTTATACATTTTAAAAATATATATTTTGAAACAGCAATATCCTACTTGTACTTATAGCCCTATAACTTGTACACAAAAAAAGCAAAAACACAGGTAAACACTGGATGTTTTTAAACTCAGGACATTTTGAATCTATTTAGCAGTTTTTTTCATTAACTTTTGTAGATGAGTAAAAGATTTGTCAAGTAAAAGTCAAAAAACATGTTTTTTGTTTTCAATTTTTTACCATTTAAAATGTATTTTTTTTTAAAGTAAATTACATGACATGATAGAAATAATGGTATGTAAAGAAAGCCCCTTTTGTCCTGAAAAAAAAAACCAATATATAATTTGTATGGAAACAGTAAATGAGAGAGAGGAAAATTACAGCTAAACACAAACACCACAAAAGTGTTAAAACAGCCCTGGTCCTTAACGTACAACATGGCCAAAATAACCCGGTCCTGAAGGGGTTAAAGCAGCCGAATTGAAAAAATTCAGCTATACTTTCCTTTCAGCTGCTCTGGACTTAAATTCATTTTAGTGAATAATCCTGTTAGTTCTGGGCAAAAACACATGCAGAGGCCAGTTCATTAGCTGCATAGACAAATTCTGCATCTATATAAAAAAAAGTAAGTTTTTAAAGGCTTAGGAAATATTGAAGCAAATTTTAGTAACTGGATATTTTTTGCAATAATTAATTATACACACTAAAAACATGTATTTTAGAACATTAGAGTTTCCCTTTAAAGGGACACTATAGCCATCTGAACAACTTTAGCTTAATAAAGCAGTTTTGGTGAATAGAACATGCCCCTGCAGCCTCACTGCTCAATCCTCTACCATTTAGGAGTTAAATCCCTTTGTTTATGAACCCTAGTCCCACCTCCCTGCATGTGACTTGCACAGCCTTCCATAAACACTTCCTGTAAAGAGAGCCCTATTTAAGCTTTCTTTATTGCAAGTTCTGTTTAATTAAGATTTTCTTATCCCCTGCTATGTTAATAGCTTGCTAGACCCTGCAAGAGCCTCCTGTATGTGATTGAAGTTCAATTTAGAGATTGAGATACAATTATTTAAGGTAAATTACATCTGTTTGAAAGTGAAACCAGTTTTTTTTTTTTTTCATGCAGGCTCTTTCAATCATAGCCAGGGGAGGTGTGGCTAGGGCTGCATAAGCAGAAACAAAGTGATTTAACTACTAAATGACAGTGAATTGAGCAGTGAAATTGCAGGGGAATGATCTATACACTAAAACTGCTTTATTTAGCTAAAGTAATTTAGGTGACTATAGTGTTCCTTTAAAAGTAGGTATATATTGTTTTGAGTTGAATGGGGACTTGTTAAATTATACTATACTGTGACAGCCACCGTCAAAAACTAACTAGTTTACATCTAGTCTAAAAAAGAAACATATGGTAAAAAAGCAAAATAAGAAAATAAGATTAAAATGCCAATGCAAAACGATAGTATAAAGTAGTGATAACTTTTAAACACTAGGTGGCGCTCTTGCAAAAGCGTTGTGTTTTGTAATACAGTTTAACAATCATACATAATATAAAACAAACAAAATGTAAAATGAAAAATAAAGATATTAATCTTTAAACTCTATCTAGACATGGAAATGGCTAAAATCTCTCACTTCTATTGTTAACAGTGGCAGTACTCTCAATAGATTAATGAAATATATGTTCTGCAGCAATCAAGTAGTAGATTCATTCCTGTGGAAAAAAACCAAAATCAGTCTGTTTGCTGGGGGCTTCCTCTCTTAACATACCAGTAGCTTAATTTATGTGTTTACGGTAGCTCCAGCTGGGCATCCATGCAGTACATGCACTCCCAGAGACAGTTACAAGAAAGCATGTTAATGTTAGATTGTACTCGTTGAAAGGAAGGAAAGGTCCCAGTATTTCATCACTAGAAAAACGTAAATCTAGCCTCCTGTATGTTTTACCTCTACTCCATTTCTTCTCTTTTACTGCAATTACATTTTTGTACATTAAAGGGACACATAGTCACCAGAACAACTGCAGCTTATTCAGCGCTTGTAAATTACTGGGGGGCAGTTTAGTCACCAGGTCCGGAGTCTCTCATGTCCAGCAGAAAAGAACAAACGCAGAATGTGTCCTTGGGAATATGTAGATGAAAAAAAAGAAGAAACTGATAGTGTGATATGTAAAATACGATATAAAAGCAAATAATAAAAATTGTCCACACACTTTTCAGGAGCTTGGGTTCAGCTCCAACTATCTCGCTTTGGCAGAATGATCCCCACCTAGGGATATAGTGTAGTCCACAGGTCTGTCAGCAGGTCCTCCTCTGTGTCGATTTGTTCATCAGCATGTAGGGACTGAAGAAAATACTATGCTGTAGGATGTCAGACCAGAACAACAGTAGGTAAGGTAGATATATAAATTGTGACTCACATGTTTTGGAGCCTGAACGTCGGCTCCTCAAATACAGTGTAGGGTGGTATGATCCCCACTGCAGGATATAAGTGGTGGTGGCGTCTCTCTGTGTATAAGAAAAAAGAAAGGAGAAAAAACACAATAGTGTGTTACTGTAAAAACTGAGATGTTAAAAATTCTACTCACATTTAGTGGAGCAAAAAAAGGTTTGCTCAGTCCAGAAGGCGTTGGTGGTTTTGTGTCCCCACCGAGGATCTAGACGTGTATGAATCCAATGTAAAAGTATTGGTGGGATTAAAAATCTCACAGATATGGAGTAGATAGTATGGATAGAGATACCACTCAAACTGAAAATAATGGGGTTACCACCAAACCCTGAAGTGCAAATGAATATAGAATATTAGATATGCTCTAATAAGTATCCAGGAGTGATATAGGATATGTATCTTTTAAAACATTAAGTAAGTAGATTGGCTTAAAATTAGTACTTGTAAAATTAATGATAGTAAAATGGATCAAAAAGTCAATATTGGCATTAAGTCACTATGTGAAAGTCCACAAATATAGCAACATATGTGATCAAATACAAATAAAAAATATGTGTTGAAAAAGTCACTGAAAAAAATGAATGAAAAGTCCACAGTCTTTGCAACAATAATGCTGTTTGAAACTGTGATTGTAAATAGTTTTCACAATGTTAGCTTGTAGCAGTTAGCCTCAATTACAGAGTTTGACTGGGGTTTATCTGCTAAACAAGTTTTTTGAATATAGTACAAAAGACAGATATCGTCTTCCTTAAATGCTGTAAGTTGTAATAATGTACACTGCTTATTACTGTAAAATACTTAAAGATCATACATTAGGATCCTAATTAATGAATGATGCCTTCGATCTACAATGAAACAAAATCAGAATCCATAGTGTTTGCTGCATATAAAAAGGCTTTTAATCAAAATTAGTGATATTAAAATTGCTCCCACATATTGGTTGGGTATCAATGTCCTGAAATTGAAATAGAAATGTAGAAATATTTTCCTCACTCCTGTCCAAAATACATGTTATTTATTTTATGCCTTTAAGACATCCCACCATATGAGAATAAGAGGTTATGTTTTGGCGCCGTGAAAATATTCTGTAGGAAGTTCTATAAATACCTCTGAATATATATATTTTTCCAAACATTTTATTTTTTTTACACCACCCCCCCAGGATGTGACACAGATACCAGGCTGCCTGGCAGAGGTCCATTAATTGCTAATTCACACCAACAAAAAGGAGACGGTTAACCGGACAGGGGTGTTATAAGTAGAACGCACAATTATATGCAGTTAAACTATATATTATCTCGCCAGAGCTGTACATTCAATGTGTATCTTTAGCCAAGAGAAACAATTTTTGTGATTAAATAGATTCAAACTTATTTCTGTGATTTTGTATCTAGTGTCATGTGAATAAGTATCATGAAATATAAGCAGGAATTGGAATGCTATCTATCTATCTATCCATCCATCTATCTATCTATTCTTTATTGATGAAGGCATCAAAGATAAAACTTTAATAAACAAATAGTAGTGCTATTAATGAACAGGTTACCATAGTGATGTTTCCACCTGCCTTGTATACATTTCCTGGTTATCATACCTCCTGAGATGCTTTTTCCATTTTGTAACCATTTTCATAAAATTTTCCATTCCCCTTATTTATTTTGGAACCCACCTCTGCACTTCTTCCTCATGCATACCGGTTACAAGCTGTCAATCTTACTATAGTAAGCATAGGTGTGTACCAGTGTGTAACATATTTTGTCCCAGTATATAGGTAATATTTCTTCCTTCAAGTTAGTGAAATGGCCTAAATAATAGCATCTTTCCTATCCTACTTACCATACATCCCCTTGTTTTTCACTTCTTCTTTATTTTTCTAGAATTTAGGACACAAAGTAAATACTATTATTATTATTATTATCATACAATGTTCTAGTATTCATACATCTGTAAGTTGCTGCTTATTGTTAGAACCTAACTTCCCACTGCTTCAAATGCTTTATCAGTGGGGAACAACCTGGATCACAGCAGTCACACTAATTTCTGAGTGTGTGAGAGAATGCTTATGGGTCTGTCAGTGAGTGTGTGTCTGTCTGTGATTGTGTGTAGGTCTGTCAGTGAGTGTGTGTGTGTTCATGAATGTGAGTGTCTGTTAGTGTGTGTCAAATTAGTGAAAGTGTATGTCTGTCAGTGACATTTGTGTGTGTCTGTCAGAGTGTGACAAAGCAGCGAGGGTGTGTGTCTGCCAGTGAGTGCATGAGTCTATCAGTGTTTGTGTGTCTGTGAATGTGTGTGTGTCAGTGAATGAGTGTGTGTTTATGTGAGTATGTGTCCGTCAGTGAATGTGTGTCTGTCACTGAATGTGTTTGTGTGTCTGTCAGTGGGTGTCAACTTAGTGAGAGTGTGTGTTTGTCATTCAATGTGTGTGTGTCTCAAATCAGTGAGGCTGTGTCTGTCAATGAGTGTGAGGCAGTAAGGCTGTGTATGTCAGTGTATCTGTATCTGATAGTATGTGTCTGTCAGTGAGTGTGTGTGTGTCAGTGTATATCTGTAAGTGACCGTGTGTGTGCTAGTGACTGTGTATCTGTCAGTGAGTTTATGTCATCGTATCAGTAAGTTGGCATGTGTCTGTTAGTGAAAGTGTGTGTTGGTTAGATAGTGTGTGTACCAATGAGCGTGTGTATGGGTCAGTGAGATTGTGCGTGCTTAAAAGGATGGAAATTAATTTAAAAATAGTTTTAATTGGCATCTAGTATATACTGCCCAGTATAGTTATACCTATCTAGGATTTCACATATACTGTTCATACTATGCATAGAAAGGGATAGATATGTATACCCTTTATTGTTGTATTGTCAGGTGTGTAGTATGTCTAACTGGTCGTATGTGTTGCAGATGTGGTCAAGGAGCCCTAAAGAGAAATATAGATTAACTGATGGTTAGAATCCTAACTATTAATGCCCAAGGCCTCAACTCTTATCTTAAACAAGGATATTTGTTCAATACTCTGGTTCTACATCCAGATGGTTCTATGGTTCATATATGGTGGTCCTGCCATCGAATTAAATCTCTTTGGACGATTACATATGAATTTATAAATAGAATTGGAGGTATTTATTTGGAATTCAAACCGGAAGTCGCCCTACTCCAACTTTTGGGTTTAGAAATGAAGGATAATCTTGATATTGTGATTACACACTGTTTAATGGCTACTAAAATATTAATTGCTAGATTTTGGAAAAGCACTGATATTCCTACGAGAGATCAAGTTAAAGCCCAACTTCTATTCCAAGTCGAGATGGAAAAGGGGTTAATGTCCATGAGAGAATATCCTAATTTTAATTCTCTGATGTTTTATTCTAGTCTTGTTGAAAAAATTAATGGGGTTTGAGGAGGTGGGGTACTGCTTACGATCACCTTATGGTTAATCTGATCGTTTTTTTTCAACGGGTTCTATTGTTGGGCTCCTTGTCCTCATACTGTATTACTTAAGTGTGGTAGTGGATCTGCAATACATATGACCAGTTTTGTCTTTGTTTTTGTCTGTCTTATCTATAAGGTTTTTAAGGCCGATTTTGGACCATGATATCCACTCGATGGGACTTTAATGTTATTGTATTATTGTGTTCTAGACGGCCTATTGATGAATTTTGAAATAGAATAATATACCTTTGTATGTTTAATGGGGATAAGAGTCCTTAATTTTTCTTTGTAAGGTTCTTCCCCCGAGATGTTGTTATGTTTATTATTATTCTCATGAAAAAATCTAATAAAAAGAATTGAAATAAAAAAGATATGTATACCCTTGATCACTGTAGAAATGTGCAGTATATTAGACAGCTCATTGAAGTAGTCTAGATGCGGTGTGCCAGTCCCACTTAGTCCTGCAATGTAATTCATTGCCGTTTTTGAGAAACTGAAAGACGGGCCTCTAGAGGCAGTTCCTGGTGGCTAACTGACTTTTTGGCTCTAGATGAGGATGTCCAGCGTCAGTTAAATCCTTATAGGAAAGCATTGCAGCAATACTTTTCTATGGGGAAGGCCTAATCCTCTCACCCCCCCCCTTGTCAGATGCCCCAGTACCAAGAGAGATCGGTGCTGGAATCAAGGAAGTGTTAAAAGGGTTTTTAATCCTTGGTGGAGAGCAGGGGGCTCTTTGGTGTAAGGAATACATCTTTGTATTCGTTACACTATAAAATCCCTTTAAATAAGCCTGTAATGTTTTTTTCTAATGCTGATGTGGGTTTTTTCTGCTCAATTCATGTGATATGTGGTAATATGCATATATGTGTGTGTGTGTATGTATGTCCATATGTATGTGCACGTACACCTACCAGTCAATTAAATCCTCAACATTCGGCCTATGTGCCGAATAGATTGAGTGACAGTTGATCCTCTCTCTTCCTGTCAATGTGTTTCTCCCCTGGCAGGCGCTTGCTAGAGGAGTATGGGATGCACTGACGCCAGTGATCTGGTAGTGAAGCTAGCATGTTAGCTTTAGCACAGGGGATTGCCATGCTAAAGGAAGTGACCCCAAGAAGGGCCAATAACTCCACGCTTACACACAGCCAAACCGCATATACAATCACACTTAGCCAGCCACACACATACACACAATTACACTCCACCAACTCCACACACACATATTACAGTCAGCCAACCAAAGCAAATAGACTCAATCAAGCCCTACACAAATTCACACTCCGCCAACCCCCGCACAATCACACTTAGCCACCACACGCCTCCCACTCAGGTGTATTGCTTATGGGGCAGCAAGGAGAATGTTAAGGGGGCACACTGCCCTGTGATTCCTAGTTACTCCCCTGTGCTTTATAATAATTGTCTGCATTATTGTTGATATAGTATTGACTCTGTACCAAATCTCTCTTTTTAATAATAAATAAAAACTATACTATAAAAACTATTGCTTATTCATGTCTTTATAGAGACATGACAGCGGAGGGGTCATTGCCCAGGACAGCTGATAAAATCATCTGTCATCTCCCCCAAATCTCTCCAGGGACTCTGCCCAATCCTTTGTCACATGTGTGGTCAAATGGCAGACAGTACGTCACCGCTGGTCACGAGAGGTACTTAAGGCAGCCCGGATATTTATAAACAATCCTGCTATGTATAATTACATGACCATGACCTGGCACTGTGTATTTTACCACCATGACAATGCACAGGGAGAGACTGTGTTAAGAAATGCAAAAATAACCCAGTGTGATCTCATGACGGATTGGGAGAGTGAAGCTGCAGGAGATGCTTGAGGTGACAAATAAAAAGTACATTGATATTAATATGTAAAACAAACAGAGTTAATTCTGGTTTTGGCTCTGACTGAGAAACCGAATAGAAGTCTCTTTCACTAAAAAGTTGAGTAGCTTAGATCTAAAAATACGTATTCCAGGTTATTCATTAAATTATGAATTGTTAGAAATTTATTATAGGTTATTCAATAAAATGAAAACTGTTATTATTATTATTATTGCCATTTATATAGCGCCAACAGATTCCGTAGCACTTTACAATATTATGAGAGGGGGGATTTAACTATAAATAGGACAATTACAAGAAAACTTACAGGAACGATGGGTTGAAGAGGACCCTGCTCAAACGAGCTTACAGTCTATAGTCTGTTGTGAATTCAAAGTGAATTTGAAATGTTAGACCAAAAGCATAACTGATTGGAGAATTTTTCCAAGTCAACAATTTTTGCCTTAAATTTTAAATTCACTTTGAATTAATTTAGATTTCCTCACAATTCTCACATTATTTATTTATTTATAAAATATTTTAACAGGAAAAATACCTTGAGCTTGAGATTTCTCTTGTTTTTTAGAGTATGTCCTGGTCCCATAAACAATGCATTGTTACAATAAGGTACTATATAATATTACAAACACAATATACAATATATATACATTGTACATACATAAATACACACATATATAAATTAAACACACACCAGGTAATAAATATAGTCAACCATGACAGGTGCATTTGTAAATAACCCTGAAAGAATTAAACATTTAGCCCATAATAGCCAACTGAAGACATAATTAATGTATAATTGAGCATCTGTGGGATGTGCTGAAAATACCAAACCGATCAATGTACGTCACACCTCTTACCAACTTACAGGACTTACTGGATCTGCATCTGCTACTAGACACCACTAGACACATTCAGATGTCATGTGGACTTCATGCCTCGAATCATCAGAGCTGTTTTGCCATCACAAGGGGGACCTCCATAATATTAGGCAGGTGGCTTTAATGCTGTGGCTGATTAGAGTAGATAATAATACTAGGATCTTTGCTAAAGTTAAGTACGTGCAGGTAGCATGTGTGGTTGCACGTGTGATAGGGGTCAAGCTTAGGGGGAGGTGAAAGCTATGAGTAAAATTTGCTACTTCATACTCCTAGCAACAATAGGAGTGAAACTAGAACATGCTGGGTGTAGGGCTAGCAGGAGTTATATCATTACTGCTAGGTGTGGTACATGGGACACATGGCAGCCATATTTGGCCTAACTGGGCAACTACATACAAGGAACCCAATCCAAGACCAAATTTGCACATTATTCCACTGTGCTCTACTCCCTTCCCTACTTTTATAAGAAATATGTTTTTATTAACGGAAACTAAGAACTAAAATGCAATATTAGTAAAAAAAAAAAAAATACAGTTCATAAAATATTTTATTATTGTGCTGTTACAGAGCTCCCGCAATCCCCTTTATTACAGTTGTCTGGTGGGGCAAGCGCTCCCCTGTGCCCCAGGTCAATCCTTGCCCCTCGTCTGCCCAAAAAAGCAAAGTGTCAATCAATAGAAGGGATATCCATGTGATCTTGCTTGAGCCGAAAGGCCATGAATTTGCCCTACAAACTGCAAAGACATATAATGATATACATTGAATGTGGTTTTTCTGAGGAATTCTCTCTGGTGACTCTAAAAAAGGACATGGTGGAGCAAGAGTTTTTTTAAAACAAGGACTGTCTTGTCAGATCCTGGAAACCTGTCTCATATTCTTTTTGGAATCTCTTTTGTTACCATCACAAATGGTATGAAGATACAAATGGTATCACCAATGGTATGAAGAAATCTAAACAAGTCAATACATCACCGGCATCTTGAAAATCTGTGGCCTTTAAACATCATAATCCATCGCAATCAGGACTTATCATTCTTCTTTTCTGGTCTGGTCATGACTGAGTAAAGGGGAAGTCTCCCTGTTTATATACAAATGTACATTTAAGTGAAATATTTCTTGCTATAGTAATTCGGTATTCATATTTGCGAAATCATACTACCTCGCATTAACATCCAAGAACGACCACAGTATGCACAGTAAGCATGATAAATCTCATTATGTCTGGCAAATATTCATGTTATGCATTTCCTAGCTGTCTTCATATCCTTTCACTAAGATTTATAGCTTCCTGTAGCTTATTAAATTCTCGAGATTGTTTGATAATTTAGCTCCTCGAGTTTTCTCTTCTAAAGAGCACAAGATATAGCTGATAATAAACAAGTCACCAAAACAAACTTGGAGGGGGATTGAAGAAATAGCAAAACATTTAGTAACAAAACGTGCCTTACTGCAGAATCTCATTGACTTAGAGGTCACAGTGGAGTATAGGTTGTGTGGGCTGATCCTTATAAGTCACGCAGAATCCAATATTGTATCACATACAGGATTATTTTTTTATGAAAATAGGAATTCTAAGTGAATTTCAGATTCAGGGCCAGAGTGGCTGAACTGAAACTGACTTTACATTTTTTTTTTTGTTTGGCTATTTTACATTTAAATTAAAAGAATCCTTTTTGTGAGTAACCTTGGCATTCTCTGGTGTGGTCATTGGACAATGACACATTCTCGTTTTAGTATAGAAAGTGCAAAGAAATGTGAGAGGCAGAGGATTAACAAATGAATTGCAAATTGTAAGCCAACTGAGCAAATATGTGGCTAGGGTTTCCTAAGTTTTCCTAATCTATTTTGACCTAACATTACAATATCCTTGCCAGCGCTCCGCGAAGCATGTTTTAATGAATTATGCCCAGTACTTTTTTTTTTTCTTTTAAACATTCTTTATTTTGGATTATTTTTTAATTTGTTTAAATTTTTTTAAACAATGAAATTGCAGAGAGAAGAATAAGAAAACTGTCATTTGCATTCATTAGTAAAAAGGTCTAGGATGTGGTCAGGTTCCGTACAAAGGTCGGATCCATAAAATGATAACAATGTATAGTATAACACCACTCTTTACTTTTTCGCAGAGTATTCGCTGTCATTGAGCAAGGCTGTCGAAGTAAGTAGGAGGCCTTGAACATTTAGTCCTCCCCGTTACATAGGGCACAACAAGCAAGGGAAAGTCTAGAGCCTAAGGAGAAAGAGGAGAGGTATGGAAAGGGTAAAAAAGGGAGGGGGGATTGTGATAGGAGAAAGGGGACCTGTAGGACCCGCAATTGTGGCCTTAGGAAGGGAGACACAGTACACTTGTTTGTCTAAAGGGAGAAAAAAGCATTGCAAAGTGTTTCAAACTGATTCTTTATTATATTGCTTGGCCCAGAATAGTTTTTCACATCATCATCTAAACTTTTCAATTCAATTTTAGGTTCTCTACAATTTGTTGTGCAGTAAATAAACCTGAAACTCTATATTTTCAGTAAAAAAATAATAATAATTTTCCCCATCTGTACCTGTGATGTATTTGTATATACACAAGTTTTCTTTTACTCACATATTAACTTTATCATAGTTAATCGTGATCTTGCGGTATCATTGAATCACGTGATTCCCACTACAATTTTCTTTTCTAGCAAGAATTTGATACTTTAACATGGCTAGGTGGTACTAATACCAGGGGCTTCAGCGTTACTACATTTATTTGCTATTTAAAACTCTGCTTCTTGTATGGTAAATCGTTTCATAAGTATATAATTTGTCATTAAAAACCGAGAGGACTTGGGCGGAGCCTAACCGCCGAAACGACTAGACGCACCCTAAGTAAACTCCCGCACCACCAGTTTAAAGCAAGGAGATATCTTCCGACAGAGAGCAATCACCAACACTGCAGTACCCTGAGTATTTGTAGGGCGTCTTGGTGAACGTATAGACACCAAGCCCGAGACGCTTGACCGCAGGACACCCGGGACGCAACTTTGGGGCCTACACAAGATTGAGGTGGGAAGAGGCGGCCGCTCTCCTCACTTTAAACGGCGGTCTTGTACTCCTGGTCACCCTACAGTTCAATCTGAAGCTTGACCCACTGCTCTTGAGCCCCACTAACGCCAATGCCAATGCAGCTAAGATGGCGGTTGAAATCCCTAAGATGGTCCCAGCGGGCAACGCTGAACATGAACAGCCTACCGGTGGACTTTTAGCTGGCTTCAACCAGGTGTGTGCTGATTTCTGGAAACTAATTGAGGAAAGGCAGGAGAGGAGAAATGAAGCAGAGAGACGCAAACATCTGCTACACATCTCATCCCACGCAGCCCTGATGAGAACCCCCAGAGGCAGTGCGCCTGGGCCTGTACGGAGAAAAGGCAGAAGGAGTAGAAATCCTCCATGCTCTCAACATAGAAGCCAGTTATCTGCAAGAAGTGCCAGAGATTGTGTCCAGACCGGTGACGGAGATCAGATACGTGAGGAGCCAGTGCAGGACTATATCGGGACTCAAGGACTGTGGGGTAGCTCTGAGGCGATGCAGTCCCTTAATTTGCCACTGGGAAGGCTGTGTTTGTTAGTGGGCATAGGCTGACCACCCCTCTCGATATAAGGCTCGAGCCCTCCCTCTTTATAGGCCTCAAGTCCCAAGTGGGGTAGTGTTGTATAATCCTGTTCCTTAGCTCACCCCCTTGCGACTTATGTTACAGTGCATCCGCTTGCTCAATTTATCATTGCTTCCCTTCCTTGAAAACACCATCTGTACCATACCATGCTTATTATATCTTATTTACACATGACTACTTAATAAGTATACTCTCATTCATACCTACCTTGTTTACCTTTTATTTTTTTACACGCCCACTCGTGCATACTTAGCCTGTTGCAGTAGTATCATTACGCTAGAATTGTGGATACATCGCTTAGGAGCTCACTCTCTATTGATTTATCACAATGATGTATTCATGTTGTTTTGCATATTAAGTCTTACTATTTGTGTATATTCCTGAGTTGACTCCTATGTGCCTGTATTGTACCTTAGCTACTCTTTGTCTATATATAAAAAATGTGCTAATATCTCGACTGCCACACTGTTTTGATTTGTGTTTTACTTATACTGCCATTGCTGTTGTGGTGATGCAGGCCTGCTTGTCAACTAAGCACAACAAAAATGAAGAATTAAAAAAAAAAAAACGAGAGGACCAGGGGAAGAGGTTGTTGGAAAATCTGAAATTTAACTTAGAGAGAAATACCTCTAACTGCAGATTTTCTGGATATTGAAATGAAAGAAACAATGCTACAACTAGACTCAGCTCAGATCAGCCTTCCCCAAAAACTCATCTGAGGAGATTCTACAAAATACTAGATACATACACCTAAAATACCTACTGAATACATTATTTTGTTATTTGTAAATATCCAAAATACGCCCCCCAAAAAATATACGATAAAAACTAAAACATATTAAATTCTTTCATCTGTAAGAAAAGGAAAAATTAAATTATATGCCAAGAAAAAAAAAATGTCTAAAAAGGGTATACCTTTAAAAATAAAGTAGGTTTGAAGACATTTCTAGAACCTAGGACGGTCATTGTGTAAAGGGGAATTTGGTGAAATCATATTCACCTCGTCCTCTTTCCTGAATCTGTCATTACTCTGAAAATATGTAACAAGGACTACAAATATGACTGATAAACCGCCAGGGAAGCAATGTGGGTGCATATTGTTATTAATAATACTATGTGATTACCCAGAATTTTATAAGATAACGCTATAGACAGTTTCTCTAAGTTATAGTCATTATTTTACGCTTAAAATCATTTTATACAATAGGAATAAAAGCGCTGTGATTTAATTTTGTATTTTTCCTTTTTCACCAGAATTTAGGTTTCCTAATCAGATTTTTCACGGGAATTTAAATGGTATAAAATAATTATGAGCATTACTTCCTCGGCCTTTGTTCCGTTGCAGGAAAAAGCCAGAAAAGGCAAAGAAACAGTCATTGTCACATCGCGAACGTGTCAAACATATGAAGAAAAAAACAGAAAAATGTCATAATGAGGAGCTTGTCATTCTTTACATCATTGGATGATGGTACATATTTGCGCTGCTTCCCAGCAATGGAATACCTGGCTAGTTAACTGTTTCACTACCAAATTTTCTTTATTTAAAGACAAACACCAGCGTTCAAATGTTTTTGGACATGAAATGCTAGCGTATAATCGTGGGTGAAAGATCGATTTTGCGAATAGATTTGAGTTAACCAATTAAAATCGTGTAAATGTATTTAAATATAGCTTGTTATTTATTCTTTGGTGTATTTATCAGTATATATTGATGTCATATTTATATATTGTCAAGAGACTACAATGTTATAGACAATGCTACAAACAGACCCAGAGGTGGAGCTTCAGCTCAGATTAGCCTCCCCCAACAACACCTCCTAGGACAGGCATAGGCAACCTTCGGCACTCCAGATGTTTTGGACCACACCTCCCATGATGCTTTGTCAGCACTATGGGTGTAAAAGCATTATGGGGGATGTAGTCCACAACATCTGGGGTGCCGAAGGTTGCCTATCCCTGTCCTAGGAGATTCTACCAATTAGTTGATAAATCCACCTCAATACCCACTGAATAAGTTTTTTGTTATTTCTAAACGTCCAAAATATGCCAAAAATTTATAATATGTCTAAAGATTTATTTATATATATATATATTTATAAAGAAAATTAAAATATCTTCAAACCAATACTAATTAATTTGTTTCCTTTTTTTACCTGTTTGTTTGCAGGTGAGGACACAGAAGTGACGTGGGTAGACTTCTCACTTCTTTTGTCCTATTCTGGAACTTATCAGGTCACTTGCAATTTAGTTTTTTTGGTTTTTTTTTGACAATCTTTATTTATTTTATTTTTCAAGTTTGGTCAAGATTACAGAAAAAAAGAGGAGACAATGTAACAGGTGTTGAAACAGTACAGTGTTGTGAGCATCCATTTCCAGGAATGGGATATACACAATGCAATATTCACAAGATGTTAGTCAGTTCGGGTTCGAGGCATGGAAACAAGATTCGGTAAAAGCATTCACATATTCTTCGTCTTTCGGACATAAACTGTGCATTTCACATTGCAAAAGTATTGTATAATTGGTACCATGTATTAGTGCTGTAACAATCTGTGAGTGAGACACCACCCAGACACATTGCTCTCAGTATGGAAAAATATTTTGATCTTCATTTTTTGTTTGGTAATCTGCATTTGTGTTGTTAAAGCGATACTATTAAGTCACCCTATAAGGGTATGGTTAAGGGGGGCGGTGCTAGTGTATCTTGAATCTCCCTGCCTGTGCGTGGGTTGTCGTGGTGTGTAAGCTGGGCTTTCTTTTTTTTGCAGTGTGATCTTATGTGACTTATATGCGCAAGGTTCAGGGTATACAAGCCTGGGTAGAAGCCTCTTGACTACTTTTGCTATAGGCATAATAGGAATGTGTCTACCGGAGAACAGGCATAGCGGTGTACCACGTAGTGGGCTGAACCATGAACCGTGGTTGACCCAGTTATTATACACGTTTGTATTGCGTCACGTTAACTAGCTGTAGCTCTCCTTTCTAGCAATCCTTAATCGTAAGCACTGTCTATTCAACAGTATAGATCCATAGCTCAGTGGCACGTTTGTGTAACATGTGGCATGCAAGGGGAGTAGTGGTAGCTGAGAATTGTGGTGCCCTATAGGATCTTCAGGTTGGTTCAGGGTTGTATTGCTGGTGAGTGATGAACCTCTGAGTGAGTGTGCAATTTTGTTTTTATTTAACAGTTTTTCATTTATTTAATATTTTGCAGCACTAATATTCCCCTGCAATAATGTTACTGTATTACTCCACTAGTTGTCCTACGTGGTAACTGAGTTCAGTGACCAGTGACAAATCCTCTCTCTGCTCCTATGGACCACTGTACCGAGGTGCTTAAAGGCCGCAGAACATGCAGCTCCAAACACTGAATGTACAGCCACAGGCCAGGTTCTTGTTTAAACAGTGATGTCTGCATGGCCCAAGCGGAGTTATAAATAGAATGTAATGAATGATACCACCCACCTTTCATCTATATGTGTCTCTTTAATAATTACATGGCTCCTCAGTGACTGTGGATACTATAGGTAACAAAACATCTTTAGCTTAATTAAGCATAGGATGTATAGATCATGCTCATGCAGTCTCACTGCTCAATTATCTGCCATTTAGGAGTTAAATCACTTTTGTTTCCTGTTTATGCAGCCCTAGCCACACCTCCCCTGCCAGTGACTCACAAAGCCTGCATGAACAAAATGGTTCCATTTCAATCCGATATTAACTTACTTTAGAAGTTTGTATTTCCTCCTCTGCAAAGCTGAACATTAATCACACACAGGAAGTTCTAACAAGCTATTGACAGATCAGGAGATAAGAAATTATAAATTAAACAGACTATGCAATCAGGGCCGGTGCAAGGATTTTTGCCGCCCTAGGCAAAATGGATTTTGTTGCCCCATTCACCCCACAGCGGTCCTGTAGGTTTAACCCCACGAGATAAAACATTGCCTTACCTTGAAGGGTTAAACACAAAGACCCAAGCAAACACACACACTGATCCAGACACACACAGATCCAAGCTGACACACACACACACACACCCTGACCCAAGCAGACACACACACAGACCCAAGCACACACATAAAATACCGATCTACACACACACACTGACCAAAGCAGACACACACACACACTGACCTAAGCAGACA